TGGAGATTGTGGGGTTTACACGAGGCAACGCTCACATGAAATGTCTATTTAGCTGTTGACAGTTTCATTTTGAATCCTCTGAAGAGAAGAGATTCAGAACTTACACCCCAAACTATGACGATTCATGCAAAAACCTTCCAAACCACTCAAATTTGAAAACAACAAAATCTGATTCACTGATATTAACCTGCTTGTCCTATTTGAGAAGGAGGAACATGAGCTTGTGTTAGTCCCTCTTTGTCTTATGTGATTGTTGTAATGCACTATTTTGCCTCTTTCTTATAATTCAGGTATTTAAAAATGAAACAAAAATGACATAATATCACAAACAGTGTGATTTCAGACTCATTGCTTTAATGTGAACTGTGTTGAGTGATGCTGAGTGCTACACAAGTTACTTTTAAATACCAGGAATTGGTGGTTTATGCACTGTATACTTATTTAAAGAGATATTTCCTAATTGCTGAAATGTATTTGTTTCTATCATTTTTTCCAGCTGCGGTCAACACCCTCCTCCACTCATCACGATGTCAACCTGGGACCTTCAGCAAACCCACAGTCAGTAGCTCTGCACTTATGAAATGAAATGAATGAAAATGAATGAAATGAAAAATACTTTATTTATCCCAGAAGGGAAATTCAATATTATTATTGTTGATCAGCTTGTAGCTCCCAGTCACATTAAAGAGGCAACTCTGAAGATTTTCATGATGATAAATATCTGTTAAGTCGCTATCTATCACCAAAAGAAGTAAAATGTTGATTTAACCTAATGAAATTTAAAAAGGTTTTTGTATGTTCCAGCACATTCACATTTACTGATGCATGTTTGATCACATGCACATGATAGAGAAGGTAGTTGATGTTAATGAGACAGAACCACTCCTCTGCTCTCCTGAGTGTGAAGCAGTTGTTTTATTCTCTGTCTTTGTGTTGGCGACCTCAAATTGTTATGGAGGCTTGTGTTCTGCTTTGGCCAACATGTAGCATGCAATATGCAAAATGCTGTGCAAAAAAAACCAAAATCTGCAGTATGTCAAATTTCCTGGATGTCATTTTGATTTGAGAAAAAATACCCAGTATGGATCAGATTGGTCTACTTTACATATCATGTCCCACAATGCAACATAGAGCAACGTTCACAGCAGTCGGAAAAATGGTCTCAATGGACAGAACATCTGTCCATCAGTGAAGGAGCACGAGGGAAGCTTTAGCATTGTGACTGCATAAGTGAAATGACACAGGAGACATAGGAGCAGTTTTGATATATTTTATTGAAATTATAAAGGGGAACTTCTTCCCAGCGCTGCAAGGTGGATCGGTGGTTTGCACTGCTGCCTCGCAGCTAGAAGGTCGCCGGTTTGCATCCCGGTTAGGACACCTGGGATCTTCTGTGTGAAGTCTCCATGTTCTCCCCGTGCAGCGTGGGTTCTCTCCCACAAAGTCCAAAACACATTGAGGTTAATTGGTGATTCTAAATTGTCTGTAAGTGTGAATGTGAGTGTGCTTGGTTGTCTGTCTCTCAGTGTAGCCCTGTGATAGACTGGTGACCTGTCCAGGGTGTCTCCTGCCTTCACCCTGAGTCAGCTGGGATAGACTCCAGCCCCCCGTGACCCTAGTGAGGATTAGGTGGTGTATAGATGATGGATGGATGAATTTCTTCCCAATTCAAGCAAATCCACGTGTGATGTAAAATAAAAATACCACCAGTCAGCAATTTTGATAAAAGTGCTCTGAGTTTGACTGAATGACGAATGACAATATGCTTCCAGAGATACAGAAACACCAGCAGAACCTGGTCAAACTCACGTTACATTTACAAACACTGCTGATCCTTGACCCGTCCAATCATCATAATCATATATCTGTAAATGTTCACCTTCGGGAAAATCATCAACATTCCTATTTTTCACTAAAACATGCTATTATTCACGACCATCTCACAAAAGAGGGAAACAACTCTTTAACAAACTGCAAAATGAGACGATTTAACTTTTTCATACCGCGACAGACTTTAGGTTAATCAGGAGGTTTAAAAGAGCATCTGTTTGGATGTTTGCATTTATCTCTTGTGGCCTTGATGCCTCCTTCATGAAAATCCCACAAATAGCAACTTTAAATTATTCATCGTCTGCATTTCACGTATGAAGATGTGGAGGAGAGAAAAATCCACTTCTCACCAACACATGACTTTGCTCCTTTCACTTCTTATGTGTGAGCTGCTAAACAAAGTGCTTCAGGGGTTATTGTGTAATCCTATCCTCCAAACAATGCCGTGTATTTAATAAACTACTTTCTTGTTTCAGTGCCAAACCCACTGACTTTGACTTCTTGACTGTCATTGGCAAAGGGACCTTTGGGAAGGTAACACTGAAACCTTTTTTTGTTTTTTCCTCTCAGTAGTTTCCTTGTTGTGACTCCTTCAGTTCACTTATTCACCAACAGAGACTCTTTTGTGAAAGTTTTTGGACGGAGATTAAATGACAAACTGTGCTGCAGGTATTAATGTAGGATCACATGAATTAATAGAGGCTCTTTAAGCAGCAGGGATTTTTATTGTATTGACCTTGTGAGACAAAAGAGAGAGAGCCAGAAAGCTGGAGAGCGACAGGCGGCTGTTGCTGACATTGCAGATACGGTCAGAGAGAATCTAGCTGCTGACTGCTGTCTGATCAAAATGTGCTGCCTGCTTCATGAATCATTAACTGTACAGTCCTCCGAGGCCTCTTAGAGTTACCTGAACGTCAACAGAGCAGCAAAATATTGGAAAGTAAAGCTAAAAAGAACAATAAAAAGCACTAAACTCTTAATATCATTGCTTCCCTCCTCGAAATGTTTCTGCATAAAAACAACTTCCGTGTTTCTATTTGCTGCAGAACAAGACCAGAGCTTTTTTTCTTTTTTCTTTTGTATCAACACACATCTCAGATTTCTCAGCATCATCTGTTTCCACAGATCACGTATCTGTGTTGTGTGCACTTCTTTAATGCAATGTCCTGACAGCAGCGTGTCGAGATGCTGGCTGCGACGGTGTTTACCAAACAGGCCGCTAACAAGCAAACCTTCATGCAGGTCCTGCTCGCCAAGCTCAAAGCCGACAACAAGTTCTACGCCGTCAAAGTGCTGCAGAAGAAGATCATCCTGAAGAGAAAAGAGGTGGGCTCTGCTGAACTGTTTCTGATCACAGCTGTCAACGAGACACAAAACACACACGTCAAACCACACAGTGTTGTAAAATCACCTCAAAAATGATCAAGTTTAGGGTTTTTTTTTTTACTCTGCAACCTCATTTCAAACTGAAACCTATCATTTAAATCAAAATATAACAACATATAATGGAAACATACTATATGTACCAATCAGGCTTATCAACGACAATCCATCTGCATGATGTCTGTGGTAGTAAATAATTCATTTTATCAGATCCTGACCTGATTTCTGATGCTGTGTCTGCAACAGAATGAGACGATGAAGGTGGAAAGTGTGAGAGTTATTAGTAAACAGTCTTTTATCCCAGCAAGACTATGTGAATCTTATCTAATCTGCTGCTTGCTCTGTACAAAGGACGGATTTTACAGCCTCTTAGAAAATGAACTGGGTCACTGACAACACAATGGCAATATCTGATCAAACACACGCATCCTCTTTTCACTTGGAGCGTTTTCATCTGCACGGTTTAAATTGTTTGTGAAAAAGATGTGGTCGGTCTGTTTCATTCTGCTCTTCTCCTCTTTCCTAAAGTCTAAATTAAAACATTCGACTTCCACAAACTAGGAAACAAACAAATATGTGACCTCTTCCCTCCTCCTGCTGTTACCTCTCACCTGCATCATTGTGGGTGTAGCTGTGCGTCTCCGTTTGTTTTATCGCGTTTGGTTGTTGTTTTGTTACTTTACTGCAGTTTCTATGCAAAGAATAACAAAGAATCTTGTTTTTTCTGGATTGAAATACAAATAAATCCAAGTATATTTTCTTCAATGTAAAACTTTGGTGACCTGTGTTGTCTTTAAATGAAGAGTTTATGTAAAAATGTGTAATGAAATTAACAATAAGAGCTTTTATGTGACGTAAAACCTTTGCAATGTTCTGGCAAATAACACAACTTAAGTTGTTATTATTGAAAATAATATTTTAATATTAAAATTGAAAAAAGGTGTTTGCTAAAGACAGTGAAAGTGTCTCTCTTCCTCTGAAAATAACATAAATAACTAGAATTACTTAAAATATTTATATGCATAAACAAATATTAATGAAATATCTAAACTGTAGGTGAAGAGATTTAGTTTTTAAAGTGGTAGCAGCTCATATTAGGTAAATGTAAAGCGGATGGAGCAGGAAATGATAGGAAGCCTTTCATGAACCATACGATAAATGCAGAACCTCAAAACAACTTTTTGAACTTCATGTCGTTTTGCAAAAGATCCAGGAAATCACCCAGTGAAAGCTACATTTTCCCTCTTTTAACTGATTTTTAGAACTGTTTTAGATTCCAGTTAAAGTATATTCTGTGAAAATGATGCCCATAACATGTAGCATCCAGATGCTAAGTCCCTAGTTCCTCATTTTACAGGGAATATATGAAATATTTACTTTACGGTCGTTCAGTGGTCAGACTTTTCCTGTCACCATCTGATTTCTCTCTCTTTTCTCTTTAGCAAAAGAACATCATGGCAGAGAGAAACGTGCTGCTGAAGAGTCTGAAACACCCGTTTCTGGTTGGCCTCCATTACTCCTTTCAGACCCCTGACAAGCTCTACTTTGTCCTCGACTATGTAAATGGAGGAGAGGTACGTGAATAGACACATAATTGAACCGAGAATACTTTATTTCTAAAGTAAAACGTCATTAAGATTCAGAAGCCCATTTTTCATATTCTGTTTGCACTATTCTCCTTGTTTGCACTATTTCTTATATTTATATGTACATTTTTTATTTTTTATTTTTTTTTCTGTCTCGTATATGTGTACCTCTGTGTAATGCTGCTATCAACAATGTGAATTTCTCCACTGTGAGATAAATAAAGGCATATCTTATCTTATCTTATCTTATCTTAAACTTAGATATTCGCTGTTTCAGTCATGAAATTATGTCTTTTAAAGAACAAGTGGGTGTTTTTGCTGAAAATGTTTTTTGTCATCTTTTAACCCTCTGAAAGCCAAAACAAGGGAGTTTAAAGGCATGTTGTCTTTAAAAAAATCACCAGAATGACACGATTTGTCAGAGCCAGAAACTGTAAGGATTAAAGATTTTGTGGGTTTTGAGCTTTCCGATTGATGGTCTGCTCATCTGAGACACGTCATTCAGTCTGGAAATGAAACCTAATCTAAGCTTAAAACTGTGACATTTCATCACAATCACTTCATTCTACAAAGGCAAAAATATACATTTTTTCTAAAATTATTCTGTAAAAAAGCAAACAAATAAATCTGCATCTTTGCTGCAATGTTGAAGTCATTCAAGACTCAGTTGCAACCAACAGTCATGTGCAAGAATTCAGGATATTCTCAGCTGAACTGCAGGCAGTGTTTACACAGAGCAGATAGAAGACGGGTATGGAAACAAAGGAAAAATGTAAATATTAGAATATCTATTACAGATTAGCTTTTTTTTCCTCCAGTATTGGTAACATCTGCAGGCACCTGAAAAATGTTGTGCATGTTGAGTTCAAGTTGTTTATTTGAAAGAAATGTTTTTTGTTCTATTTTTTTTTATTTTTCAGATTTTTGAGTTCTCATTAGTTTCTATAAATGTGCAGGACTTTATATTGCAGTGAACAATGAGCCCATACTAAGTAAAAAAGATGGGTTCAGATGAGTAAATGAGCCGACTCTTGTTATTGTTGTGACAGGCTGGAAGTGTGACATTGCATTTATCGTATCGTCTAAATTAAAGGTGCTGTGGTCAACATCAATAACATGAAGTGATCCCTGTCATAAATGAGGTCATCGTCAGCACGATTAGAACCATGTTGACTTTATGAACTGTTCCCTGATTTACAGTGAAATCTGTTCAGTTTATGACACAAACTGCTTTCGCTGCAGATAAATTATTTAAACGGTAAATTAGTTACATCCTCACGGAGAGGAAGCAGCAGATTTAATGTTATAAGAGACGTTCTTATTTGCAATCCTGCTGTCATCAGCTGCTCCTTTTCTTAAACATTGTCTCATTTAAAGTGCAATTCCACTAATTAATGTGTTATTTTGTCATCTTCTTTGTTAAAATTGCACAAAAGGCAAAGCAAACCCACCTGCTTCTCTATGCATTCAAAAAAAAGTATTTATTTTATTTTATTTGACCTTTATTTTAGCAGGTAAACATGTTTGAGAAGCAGTTCTCATTTGCAAACATGACCTGGCCAAGTGGCGCCAGCAGGAACAAACACACGCGTTAATTACAGACACATGAACATAACATAGAACAAAAGTAAACAAGTAAGAAGCATGGGGGTATGTGCATGTGAGAGAGAAACGATGTGCATGAAGTGTGTGTGTATAAGTATGTAAGTAAAGTCCGGCGTGGTAGGAGGGATCAGTTCTCATTGTAGTTTTGTAAACTAGTGTCAGAGTTTTGAATTTGATGCAGGCAGCAACAGGAAGCCAGTGAAGCGATCTGAACAGCGGGGTGACATGTGCTGTTTTTGGCTGGTTGAAAACCAGATGTGCTGCTGTGTTCTGGATCATCTGCAGAGGTTTGACCGTTGATGCAGGGAGGCCTGCGAGTAAGGAGTTGCAGTAGTCAATGTGTGATTTTATTAGAGCTTGTACCAGGAGTTGTGCTGTATGTTCAGACAGGAAAAGGTCTGATCTCTGGTCATAATGTTTCTGTATGTAAATGAATAATAAATCATGCATTTACACAAAATAAAGTAAGACATAGCACAGATACTTAAGATGCTGTGCTGAAGCTCAAGTGTTTTACCCAAGATCCTGGATAAAAGTATTTTACTGATAAGGTATTGTGCAGCTATTCCTGCTTCTCCTTGGACCGCTGATCTATTTATTATTGTTTTATTTTTTTGATGCTTGTCTCTTCATCCCTCGCTACTCAACTATTTCTTTTATTGTTTATTTAACAAAAGTTGAAGAAACCCGGAATCGACATTTACAATATTTTTCATGTTCAGTGACTGTACACACAATAGATATTTTCCTACTGACATGTTTAAGTATAAACACTGCCTGAAGTTCACCTGAAATTTTTTCTGTGTGACAATTGAGTCTGTAATGACTTCATGGTTCAGATTTTTAGTTTTCTCACAAAATGTGGCTCGCACACACGTAGTATTTTTGAGGTTCAGAGGGTTCAAACGTCTTCTTTAAATATAATATTAATTTCTTCCTCCATCTTCCCCACCCTTCTACTTGTCTTTTCTCTCCTTGTCCTTGTCTCTGTAGCTGTTTTTCCACCTGCAGAGAGAAAGGTGTTTCACGGAGCCCAGAGCGAGGTTCTACGCAGCCGAGGTAGCCAGCGCCATCGGCTACCTTCACTCTCTCAACATTGTTTACAGGTCAGACAGATGCTCGAGTGTTTATCTAAATACAAGGTCAGTTCACAGATAATCCACTTTGTATGCTGACGATCTGATTTTTTTCACTGCAGAGATCTGAAGCCAGAGAATATTCTTTTAGACTCTCAGGTAAGTCAGGATCCACCCCAGTTTGGTTCAATACTTTGAATTTGCAAAACTCCTTCATGTGCGTTCACAGGGTCATGTGGTGCTGACCGATTTCGGGCTGTGCAAAGAAGGTGTAGAGCCGGAAGGAACCACCTCGACCTTCTGTGGCACTCCAGAAGTGGGTCAAAAATACACAACACTAAAAGATAAAAATTCACAGTTGGCTTGCAGGTTCTAAAAGTCAGTTGCATATGGTTGATTTTCCTCTTTTTTTACATTTTGTCAGTGTATATGTTTGCTCTGTCTGCAGTACTTGGCACCAGAGGTTCTTCGTAAGGAGCCGTATGACCGAACAGTGGACTGGTGGTGTCTGGGGGCAGTGCTCTATGAGATGATCTGCAGTCTGGTACGTGTGGTTGACTGTCTGTGGTTGACTGTCAGGTTACAGAAAATCTGTCACATTTTAGGAAATATTCCTAATTCCAGTCGTTAGATAAGAAGATCAAAAAAGACGAGTACAGACTCCAAGAAGTTACCACACCCAGTCAAGAAACAATCCAACTCAACACTCCAAGTTTTTGTGATGCTGCAGGAAAGATCAGAAGTTCATTGAAACATTAGAGTTCATCGTCTTTGGATGATAATATTTAGAGATAATTTGGAAATTTAAGGTCCAAAATGGAAATTTAGCTCACATAGATGTTGTCATGTGTTGAGATGTTGGTAAAGGAAAGGTTAAGATGGACACAAAACCATGTATCTGAGATCGTTGCCATTTCCACGCAGTCAGACTTTTGTGGAGCGTTTTAATAACTTTCAATCACCACGTCCTGTAGTTTGTGCTGGCCAAATTTCAGGTGTGTATGATGTACCCCCTAGGAAGAGATAGATTTTGAAAATGGCCGAAAATGAGCAAAAATGGGCCGTAATGCTCAGCGTTTCCCCAACATGGTGGATTTCCTGTTGGGTTTACGGAAACGCACCAATGGACTTTTTGTGCGTCCCGACCGGCTACATGTGTGTATCCATTTTTGTAGCTCTAAGTCAAACGTAGCCCCGATGGGACTCTGTTGAAATATTATAGGGGGCGCAGATGAGCCGTGTTGCATTTTAGAGCTTGGAGCACGGAGACTTTTTTGTTCGTCCCAACCTTCTCCATACACCTACCAAAGTTTGTAGCTCTAGGCCAAACGTGCTTTTGACAGCAGTCTGTTGAAACTTTGAAGGGGAGCCATTTTTACACTGACATGTCCAATTCCCTTAAAATATCAAATTTTTCACCAGTACTGTTGTGTGTGGTGACTTTGGTGAGTTTTGGGGCATGTTTAGGCCCTCAAAAATGCATCTGAATGATCTGAAAAATAAAGAAAAAGAATAAGCCCAAGGGTTACAATAGGGTCCTTGCACTGTTACTGCTCAGACCCTAATTACAGCATTTAACAGGAATAGAAAATGTAAATTGTTCCCTTTTCAAGTTTTGTACAGTGCTAGAATGATTCATCTGTGTCCAAGTCTTAGCCTAAAATCATGCTATTTTATCAAAATCCTGTTCTTCTACATGTCTCATTTATAAAAAAGAAAAAGAAATCCTAAAACAAACCCTTTGCATCGACCAGATTTCGCCAAAAAATGAAAAACTCTGGTCTTTGGTGCATTCATGAACAGCCGATTGACTCGACGGCGACCAACAGTCACAGGATCAAAATTCAGAGACTTCTCGGTTGAACTGCAGGTTGTGTTTACACCGAGCAGATATCAGAAAGTATGCAAACAAACTGGTAACACCGGTGAGCACTCTGTAAAATTCTATACATGTTGATTAATTAACAAAGAAAGAAAGAAGTTTAGCTTTTGTTTATTCTTATTTTTATGGTTTATGTCATTTTAACACTGCCATACTGTGCAGCAGACATTTCTGAGTTGCTGTGACCTCCAGTGATTGTGATATTTTAACATGTACAACTTGTGCCTATTTTGCATTTATTTGTTTTTGAATTTTTGTAAATCCTTTCCTCTTTATCTGATAAACTGGACACACCTGAAGTACAACCTGTAGATCCCAGATAGTGACCACTACAGGGCTCTGGAAAAGTTACATTTTCTGTTTCATAAGTGGACAAAACAAGAGAAAACTTCAGGTTTATTTCACCTTCATGTGAAACTGTTGTGCTTCTTTCAGGACTAATCATATTTATACCCATCCCTCTTCTTTACTTCAGCCTCCGTTCTACAGCCGAGACGTTGGAGAAATGTACGATGGGATCCTCCACAAGCCGCTGCCGCTGCCTCCGGGGAAGTCTGAGGCCGTCTGCTCTCTGCTGGTCGGTCTTCTCCAGAAAGACCAGCACAGACGCCTCGGGGCCATCGCCGACTTTGTGAGTGCTAAATGAAAAGTCTTTCCACTCTTGCTGCACATCAGAACAGTCTGTTTCCCAGACGAGAAATAAGCCCAGTCTTAGAGAGAAGGTAAATGCAATATTGCTTTGAACTAAAACAACAGAACAACAGGATTGTGGACAGCTCTGCACCCGCTTACAAACATCACCTCAACTTCATGCTTCCAGTGAATTCTTTAAAGGAGAAACACAAAATGTGCTCATAACTCACATGTGACGTTCCTTTCTTTCATTTATAGTTAGAAATAAAGAACCACACGTTCTTCGCTCCAATCAACTGGGACGACCTTTACCACAAGAGAATCACTCCTCCTTACAACCCCAATGTGGTGAGTTGTTTCCTGTCCGTAAGCTTGTACATATTAAAGCTATTCAACAATCATTTACTTTACCTTGAAGGTTCTTTTTAACTTGAATCATATTTTCCAGTGGGATCAGCCAACGAAGCTCTCCCTCAAATCTTAATATATTTTCATAAAGCTCTTTATCCTCTCTTTCATTATTATTTACTCACCGTTTAATTCCCGTGAATCCCTTTGACGGAGTCATTTTGAAGCGGAAATCTTTTCTTCGTTGGGCCAGCCACGGTGGAATCGCCACTCTTAATCGAATATACAAACTAGAAAATGTTTGCATGTTGTTCTTTATGCGTTTGACTAAAAACGCAAGAAACATTAGTTATTATCAACCTATCATCACTATTAATAACAGTATTATAACATTGAAAATACGTGTTGTTGCCAGATACCAATGTGAGTTCAATTTGAATTAATTTGACCTTTCAAACTTGATTCTTGGAAATGTTTTGCAAAAAAACCCAAACTTTGACAAAGTCTTTAGTCAAACATTTAAGATGGCTATTCATTGTGATATATAGTGGATGTATGTAATCGTGCATCATCATATTCAGTAGACCTTGTTATAAATTATACATAATATACATTTTTATTATACACAAACACTTGTTTTAATCTTTCAGGAAGGTCCAGCTGACACTCAGCATATTGATCCGGAGTTCACCAGAGAAATGGTTCCCGGCTCGGTCAGTCGGACCCCAGAATTCAACGCCGGCACCAGCGCCAACAACACCTTCAACGGCTTCTCCTTTGTCGCCACTGAGGACAGTTTTCTGTGAGACGCAAACGTCCCGTCAAACAGATCACAGAACCGACTGTTTTGGTGACTGCTGGTGTCGACTGAGGTGATCGCGACTCTCTTAAGCTACGATTTCATCAAAATAAGAGATGGTCTTGTGATGCTGCAGGAATCCCAGGTGGATTCTGCAGGGATGTTCAGGATGTTATCTTGAGGGTGTAGCAGAAAGAGGGTGTGCCTGAAATGGAGACTTTTAAAGTTAAAATATGTAAAACTTCTTGACTGGAAGTCCTGTGTTTGTTTTTTTAGAGATGTAACAGAGATGATAGCAAAAATGCACTCGGAGCATCTTTAAGATGTTACGGAGAGAGTCTTTATTCCACTGTAGAACAAGTGAGGCTGGATTTATGCAAAATATGTGTGTTCTTTTATACACAGACTTTATTATGTTGTGTCTGTTAAAAAGATAAAGAAAACACAACACTGTGTTTCTGTGTACATCCACGCCTTGTGTTGTCTGTCTCCCTGATCCCATCCTCACAGAGAGCAGATCTGGATGAACATATTTCTTAGATCAACACAAACATCATAAGCTGTGGGTTCACCAGTGATTTCAATGAAAAAACAAAAGAAGAAAACATTTAAAAGAAAGATGATTTTCGCAGACTTACCAACTAGATGAGGCTGGTGAACAAGTCCAGTGCTTTCACTGCAGTGCTTTTGTTTTATAGCACCAGTACAAGCTTTTGTCACATCTGTATGATATGTTAAAGACAATCCATTACTGAGATGACTGCCGCTCTTTACCTGTTTTCACACTGGTGGGCATTCCTGTGCAGCACCAATCTCCCAGACACTCCTTTATAGCTGTAGTTATTAAGCACATGAAGTACGTGGCATCAGCTTTTGTCACCATAAACAACAACATATTTCATTGTGAGCTTCCAAATAGCTTTTCTGTCTTAAAATCTAAAGACAAATCTCAAACCAAAGACAAAAAAGGAGGAGAAAAATGCTAATAATAATATTATTACCAATAATACTGCACTGTGAGAAACCTGGCTGGTGTGAAACAGTGGATAAAGTCATCACAGCAGTGGTTTGTTCGTTAATGTATAAATTAATGTGCTTATAATGCAAAAAAGGCTCCATGTAGCATTTTTTTTTTTAAATGACAGTCGACTACACAGCATATTAAGGTTGTTTATTATGTGGATTATAGCTTTGTTGTCTGTTGTGGCTGAGGAAAAGTCTTTTGTTTTAGATTTATTTAGTCTGTAGATAGCATATTTTGTTCATTAGTTTATGTAAGAGCTCATGTCATTATGAAAATACTGTATTCACTGCCAGTGTTGCAGCTTTGCAATAAGATTCCATCAGTGATTATCCATGAAGTGCCTCACTGCCAGGAAATGAAGTTATGGGTAATACAGTTTAAAGATGTCCTTGTGTTCTCATGTCTTTTCTCAAGTTTTGTTGGTGCACTTCATTAGCAAACAAGCAAAAAATGTCATATTTCTGAATATAGCATGCAGCTATTTACCACCTTAAAACCTGGCATTGTTGTAAAATACAGCTAAAGAAACACTGATTTTCTGGAACAACTTTGATTTCTTCCTTCAAACGGTCTGAAGTTTGATCCTCCTCGTTCACCGTTCAAGTGTAACCCAGTGTGCCAAGCTGCTATTCCCCCGACTGATCCTGTAAATAGAGAGGCTGACGTTATGACTGTGGAGTCACACTACCAGCAGCAGCAGCGTCATAGTGGAGTGACGCCACCCGTAGCAAAAATCTACATATATGTGTGTGTGTGTGTGTGTGTACATAAAAACCTGTTTATAAATCAAACAACTGTCAAAACATTTACATGCTGTTCTGGATGGACCATTAAACTTGTGCACAAAAGAAGCAGTGTTTTTGGTGGTCAACGTCAGTCGCTGCGTAGAAATGTTACAGGTTTTAGAAAATCACTGCAGACATAGATAGTAAACTAACAGATAAAATTAAGTAATTGTTGGGATTTTGATTTTTTATTTTAAAGATATTGGGT